CCTCGCGCCTCAGCTCTCGGCCCCTCAGCCTCTCATCCCCCAACCCCTCACCTCGCAGCGACTGGGTGGCGCTCACGGTTTGGGGGCTGTCAGATGCGTTGGGTTTTTTTTGTTTAATCCTCACCCGAGGCTGTATTTTGTTTTTTGTTTTTTATAGCGAGTGGAAGGAAGGAGGAAACTATGTTAGTTGTTGACTAGTCTTAAAAGAAAATACATTTTTACTGATTTCAGAGAGGAAGGGAGAGCGAGACGTCAATGGTGAGAGCGTCGCTGAGCCTGCCTCCTGCTCGCCCCGCAGGGCGGGGTGGGGGGCCGCGGGCTGAGAGACACTGAGATCCCGCCTAGCAAGGACCCGCCGTCAGAGGCACCAGCTGCTGACCGCCAAAGAAAGGGTCTCCTGTTAGTTTTCAGGAGACACATCTGTTGACTTCAGAGAGGAGGAGCGGAGAGAGAAGCATCACTGATGAGGGAACATGGATGGGCTGCCCCCTGGAGGCCCCCACGGGTCAAGCCCGCACCCGAGCATGCCCAGCTACTCACTGGGGTGCGAAGGGGGCCCCTCAACTGCACCTGCAGCCCTGCCCGGGGCGAGTGGGGGAGCAGCACCTCTGACCCCGGAGGTCAGGGTTCGCGGGCTCCACCCCAGTAGGGCACGTGCAGGAAGCAGCCGGTCAGTAATTCTCATCATTGATGCTTCTCTCCCCCTCTCCCTTCCTCTGGAAATCATATATTTTTAAAACTCTCCGCATGCACATATAGTAAGTATATATATGTACGTGTATCACACATATAATTACTGCCTGTGTCCCTAACATGCAGCCTGTGGGCCTGCCAAAGCTACACTCCTGTTTGTTTTTTAAATATATTTTGATTGATTTCAGAGAAGATGGGAGAGGGAGAGAGAGAGAGAAACACCATGATGAGAGAATCATTGGTCGGCTGCCTCCTGCATGCCCCACACTGGGGATCAAACCTGCAACGCGGGCCTGTGCCCTTGACTGGAATTGAAACCAAGGACCCTTCAGTCCACAGGCGGATGCTCTATCCACTGAGCCACACGGTCAGGGCGGCCTTCCTGCTCCTAAAGCTGGTATAATTCAGCCAAGTTCCTGCTGCAGGAGGTTCTGGTAGTGTTTTCATGAGGGGACTCGATACACTTACTCATATTCCCAAAGGGTTTGCTTTGGCCGATCCAGAATTATTTTTTTCCTGACCTTTGGGAAGATGAAATGTGCTTTTCTTTAAAAAAAATTTTTTTTAATTAAAAAAAATCATTACCGGAGGACATGTTTTGATTGACTTGAGAGAGGCAGGGAGAGAGAGAGAGGGAGGGAGGCTTTGATGGGTTGCCTCCCGCACATGCCCAGAGGAGATCAAACCTGCAACTGGCAGGGGCAACACCCGGGTCAGGAAACATGCTGCTAAATAGCTTTTGCTCTGACGGTTAGAGGTCAGCGCCTGTGTCACTGTTGCAACTCAACTGCCTCTGAACCCCTGCGACTCGTTACTTCCTGGAGGGTTGTGGGGGACGCTTGCCTGTCACACGGCTCCCCTCTGCCGAGGACCCCCGGCTCCAGAGTGGCTGGGGTTCTCCCAAGCGCCCACTTGCTTTTTATCTCGGGGAAACCGCACTGCTGACCAGCTGTGCTGTGTTTGGAATGGCCGCCCGTGGCTGGGCTGACCTGACATCCTAGCCTTGTCCTGGCATCCTAGCCTGACCTGTAGCCCCATCCTGTTTTCATCCGGGTGGATGTCCTTGTTAATTTTGTCCTTTATGTGTGTTTGTAAGCTTCCGTAAATGTTTCTTCAGAATGACAGAATGTACACACACGCTGACACCTCGGTGGCCACCACTGCAGCTCTGAGAACTGCAGGTTACAGGTGCAGCGCCTGTGGCACCATTTACAATCCAGAAGGTGGGAGAGAGGGAGAGCAGAAGCCGGGACAGAGGCTGAGGGAGGAGAGAGAGAAGAAAGGTGCACAGGCTGGTGGGTGGTGTGATACCGCATGTAACTTAGGCCCATGCTGACTGTTGTAAAAAGTGAAGTTTCGCCCTGGCGTGTATTGCTAAGTGAGTGTAGGCCCAAGCACTGAAGGGTTGTGGTTGTCTCCCTCCCCATACCCCGGGGGCATGTGTGGGAGACATCCAGCCCATCTGGCGCTCTCACATCGGTGATCCTCTCTCTTTCTCCCTTTCCTCCACTCTCTGGGGTGGGGGTGGGGGGGGGAAGCAATGGAAAAATATCCTCAGGTGAGGATTAAAAATAATTTAAAGCTAAAAAATGTATACTTAAATATGATCAATGTGCCTGGGGATATATTTAGAAAAATGAGGGGGTGGGTTGGGGTGTTGTGTCCTGGCCAGGTGGCTCAGTTGGTTGGAGTGTCATCCCATACACCAAAAGGTTTTGGGTTCAATTCCCAACCAGGTCACATACCTGAGCTGCAGATTCCATCTCCAGTCCCCAGTTTGGAGGAGTATGGGGGGCAACTGATTGATGGTTCTCACATCATTCCCCCCCCCCCATTTCCATCTTCTTCCCTCTTTCTCTTCCTCTCTAAAATAAAACATCCCCTCAGATGAGGATTAAAACTAAGGCAGATGGTTTCTTGTAGAAACCCTGCTTTATAACCCCAAATGTTCAGAAAAGCCAGTGCCCATGTGGTTTGGAAAGATGATTGGATACAGATAAATGAGCTTAATATCTTTCTCTCGAAATTTTCTTGCACAAAATATTTACTGAATGTTACAGAAACAGGTTTCATTTGGGTTTTTTATTTGTTTGTACTTTGTATTTAATATCATCCTGTAGCTCCTGGCAGGGCTGCCCTCAGGGGTTTTTATCAACAGCACTAAATTGCTCACTTGCATATGAAAGCTATTGGTAACTTGATTTTTTTAAAAACTACCATAAGAATTAGCCCATTATTCCAGAATAAATACTGAGAGATTAGAACTAAAGTTAATAATCTTTTTTTTTTAAAATATATTTCTTTATTGATTTAAGAGAGGAAGGGAGAGGGAGGAAGCGATAGAAACACCAATGATGAGAATCATCGACTGGCTGCCTTCTGCACGCCCCCCACTGGGGACCAAGCCCGAAGTCTGGACATGTGCCCTTGGCCGGAATCGAACCCGGGACCTTTCAGTCCGCAGGCCGATGCTCTATCCACTACGCCAAACTGACCAGGGCTAAAGTTAATAATCTTAATGGAGATAGATTTGATCTTAGAAACTATCATTGACTCGTAAGAAATACCTGAAGAAGCACTAATAAACTGTCCGACTTTGTTTTTCTTCGCTCTAGTTGAGATTACAGACATCCTGCCAAGATGTTCTCTACAAAGCCCAGACTTGTCGTACCTTATGGCCTCAAGACGCTGCTCGAGGGAGTCAGCAGAGCCGTCCTCAAGACCAATCCACCCAACATCACCCAGTTTGCAGCATTTTATTTCAAAGAACTTATTGTGTTTAGAGAAGGCAGGTGCTACCATATTTAGGTTGGAGTAGATGATATTTCCTAATACGAAACCATCCTATTATTCTAGTTTTCTAATTCATTGAGTTAAAACTTTATACACAGTTTCTTTAAATTGAGGAATGCCTTTATTAATATGACAGATAGATTAGAGGCCCGGTGCATGAAATTCATGCACTCGGAGGGTCCCTCAGCCTAGCCTGCACCCTCTTGATGTCCAGGAGCCCTCAGGGGATGTCCGACTGATGGCTTAGGCCAGTTCGTGGAGAGTGGGCCTAAGCTGTCAGTCACACATCCTTAGTGCTGCCGCAGAGGCAGGAGAGGCTCCCGCCACCGCCACCGCCTCAGCACTCACCAGCCATGAGCTGGGTGTCTGGCTGACTGGCGCTCCCCCTATGGGAGCTCCCTGACCACCAGGGGGCAGCTCCTACATCAGTGATGGTGAACTTCTGACACGTGAACTCATTTTTTGGTTGATTTTTCTTTGTTAAATGGCATTTAAATATATAAAATAAATATCAAAAATATAAGTCTTTGTTTTACTATGGTTGCAAAGATCAAAAAATTTCTATATGTGACACGGCACCAGAGTTAAGTTAGGGTTTTTCAAAATGCTGACATGCCGAGCTCAAAAGGTTCGCCAACACTGTCCCACGTTGAGCATGTGCTCCCTGGTGGTCAGTGCATGTCATAGCGACCACATCAGTGATGGTGAACTTCTGACACGTGAACTCATTTTTTGGTTGATTTTTCTTTGTTAAATGGCATTTAAATATATAAAATAAATATCAAAAATATAAGTCTTTGTTTTACTATGGTTGCAAAGATCAAAAAATTTCTATATGTGACACGGCACCAGAGTTAAGTTAGGGTTTTTCAAAATGCTGACATGCCGAGCTCAAAAGGTTCGCCAACACTGTCCCACGTTGAGCATGTGCTCCCTGGTGGTCAGTGCATGTCATAGCGACCAGTCATTCTGCTGTTCAGTTGACTTGCATATTAGCTTTTATTATATAGGATTATATATTTGTTTCTGCAAAAAAGCATTTCAGTTGGGGAATTTTTTGTTTCTGATTTCCTGTATTTATTTCTTCAGGGAACATTCCTCTGGATATAAAAGATCTGGTTAGACAATTTCATCAGATTAAATGTAAGTACCACAAGTGGTAATAATAGCACAATAATATTAGTTATAAGTTATTGCATTAGCAATAGCACACATTCAAACTTAAGATACCCACAAACGTTTTCTCTCTAAATAATCGCACTGTATGTTGAAATAAACTGATGCTTTATTTTTTATTATTGGATTAGGTTTATTTATTAAATCTAGGACTGACATTTTGGAAGGTTCTCAATCTTAAAAAGGCAAAAGTAGGAAATGTACACTGAGTGGCTAGATTATTATGACCACCTGACATTTCTAGGCAAATTAGCTATAATTTTGCGCTGAAGTTGCTAGAGGGCCAGACCATTATAAATAGGCAGGTTGTTTACCACGACAGTAGAAGTGATTTTTTTTCTGAAGATATGGGTAAACAACGCGATTTAACAGCCTTTGAACGTGGGATATATATATATACACTAGGTGGCCAGATTATTATGGCCACCTGACGTTTGTAGGCAAATTAGCCGTAGACTGCATCGTATGGGATATGGAAGCCGAAGGCCTGTTCGAACACCTTTGCTGTTAACAAGATAAAACGTCTCCACTTCGCATCGGAACACAAGGATTGGACAGTTGAGCGTTAGAAAAAAGTCATGTGGTCTGATGAATGACATTTCCAGTTGCATCATGCAGATGGCAGAGTGAGAATTTGGCGGAAACAGCATGAAAGCATGCACCCTACATGCATGAGTACAACCCTTCAAGCTGGTGGGGGCAGTGTTATGGTTTGGGGCATGTTTTCTTGGCATGATTTGGGCCCTTTAATTTGTGTGGAACAACGTCTGAATAGCACAACATTCCTAAGTATTGCTGCTGATCAAGTTCATCCTATCATGTTGATGGCATACCCGTGGTCGGCAAACCGCGACTCACGAGCCACATGCGGCTCATTGGCCCCTTGCGTGTTGCTCTTC